GTAAAGCGAGACTTGCGCTTGCGAGCGAATTCACGTCCCACTCATGGTGCAAGGGAAAGGGAGCGACATGGCGTGCAAGAATTGGGAAGTATAGGTTGGAAAGAAAGTCCTGTCAGTGTTTTTTAGATAGCCTACAGTTTTTGATCTTCGAAGCTCGAACATGACGTAACATGCTAAGGTTGTAGAACATTCTCGAAGCTTTTCCACAAGAGGTATATCAAGGCTCCTGCTCTTCCCTGTGTTTATTTATGATGTCAGTTTCACTGGAGCAGCTTCGAGTGATCATCTTCCATGAGTGGCGCCGCGGCACTGGAGCGACGGCAGCGGCCCGTAACATCAACTGTGCATTGGGGGAGGACACCACCACCGTCAGGACTGTCCACCGTTGGTTCGCTCGCTTCGCGAAAGGAGAGACGATCTTCGAAGACAAACCTCGTCTGGGACGCCCTCGCGGCGTAGAAGATTCCGCCGTTCTCGAACCTGTCAGAGAGGATCCAGAGGCTACCACGCGCAGTATTGCGACAAGGCTAGGGTGTAGCCATACAACAGCTCTAAGCCGCCTTCAGGCCCTTGGCTACAGAAAAGTCCTCACGCGATGGATACCTCATGCTCTAACAGATGGCACGCGGTATGCCAGGGTGAGCATCTGTCGATCCCTCCTTCTACACCGTAACCGGAAGGAGTTTCTGGAAGATATTGTGACTGGAGATGAAAGCTGGGTCCTCTATGATTCCAACCTACGTCGTGCCATGTGGCTCCCTCGAGGAGAAGACCCGCCTACGCAACCCAGATCGAACGCTTGCAGCGCCCAAGGAAGTCTCCTTTGCTGCTTCTGGGATTCGAAGGGCATGCTGCACCACGAGCTGCTTCCGCAAGGGCATACGGTTACCGCTACCGTTTACGCCGCCCAACTCCAGAAACTCGCGCAAGCTCTTCGAGAAAAGCGGCCGAGACGAGCTTCGGTGCACCTCCTCCATGATAACGCCAGACCACATGTGGCTAAAGAGACCCACCGCCAAATTGAGGAGCTAGGCTGGGAGACCATTCCCCATCCACCATATTCTCCAGACCTAGCCCCCTTCGACTACTACTTGCTCCGTCGCGCTCAGGCATTTTTTTCCTTAGGTAAAGAAAACCTTCAGGCGAATCTTGATGGCAGCATCCGAGAATGTCCCTATTCTTCGGGCTCGTAGCCTCCTCAGTTCTAGGGAGAAGGGATAGGGCTGAGTTGGCCGCATTAGGTGGAGCACATGTATCGCCTAACATGGCGATTATATTATTACTATTCACGATTACACCTCCCACTTTACGGCGCCTTTTAACATCATCGCGACCCTATGAAAGTCGCTGTGAAAGAGCAAACTGTCAGTTTTGTGGAGAGCACAAGGTGTGTCAAGAAAAATATGTAGTGTACAAGGTGGTGTGCCTTTCGTGTCATGAATTTTACATCGGAGAAACATCAAGGCCGCTATACAAGAGAATGGAGGAACACTTAAGAGCTCTGCGTAGTCCACAGAACTACGCGGATAATCCATTCTCCAGACATCGTACACTACGGCATGCTCAGGAGAGACCGCCCGAACTTCGGGTCTATTTCGAGTCTCCCATTATTTGCACAGAAATGTAATTGATCCGGTACGGAAAGACAGCGATATAGAGAAGCGTTGGAAATTAAGCAGCTAAACCACCGATCAACATGAAGGAAGAGATGAGAGTGGCAATGACTCTGATATCAGTGTAGGACGTGCATTACGAAGGAATACGTGACTATTCCCAGATCATCCTTGGTCCTACATCTGTATATATACCCAGAACCCTGCCACTTTCCTATTTCTGCCTATATCCGCTCAAGAAGTCTAGGCAGTCCCCTCCCCCTTCCGGACAACTCGCTGTAGGTTGCTGCTCCTTCTATGGTGACTGTTGCGGTTTGTGCGTGTGTAAGACCTTAATTGCTGTAAGTTTCATGACGCTGAAGAGGGCTTAGGCCCGAAATCGCGGTGTCGTCAATGAAATATTTTTGAAAAAAGGAGCTTCTCATTTCTATACATAAGAACAGATCTCAATACAATGAAGCTCAGGGAACCATCTATAATATCTGATTATATTATTGATTAGTTTTTATTTCATGTTGAGTTAGAAAATAAAAAAGAAAAAAATCACAACAGTGACAGGACTTTCTTTCCAACCTATAGTTTCGCGAAGTGCAATGAAATGGAATGCGGCGTGCGTTCAACGGGTTCCACTTACTCTTAGCCGCTTTAGAACCGTTTGAAAAAAATCTTACATGGGTCCGTCCTCGTTGGCTGAATGTCTTTCTTCCTTTGCTGAAGGAAAATAGGAAAGAGAAATGCGAAACAAATTCGCCACCTAATGTTGGGCATCATTTTCAAAGACTCGATGGCAACAGTAAATTCGTTCCAAGTGGACGCTTACCGGAATATGATTTGATTCGAGACTGGTCTTATCTTTGGAAAAAAGAGCCGACCTGAATCATTCTTTTAGTACCCCATTTCCGCATGTTTCTCCTTGTCTTCTCTTCTTGTTCCCATTAACACCCCTTCCATAAGCAGCATACGTACTTAACTTTTTTTGAACTCCTCGTTCGAAGTACATCTGAACGTCTAGTTTAACGGGCGGTTGGTACTTTGATTGTCATTGGAAATGGGTTACACTGTTATGATGGAAAAGAATTATGGAAAGTTTTTATCCATATTTCTTTTCCATGCACCGGAAACTGAGAAAACCGGAATGGCCTCCTTCTTGCTAGAGTGGCCCTCGAGAGTTGTAAAAATCCGCTGTCTTTGGGCAGGGAATGACCCGCGTTTTGTCATTCATACTCTTAGTTCTGTCCTAGTTCGCAATGGTACCGTGAGGTAGTACAAGTATTCAGCAGCGTAACATTTGTCGGTAAGAGTTGGAATGCGGACGAGAAGAACGGCTTTCACCGCTAAACGTGTTCTTGTGGGCTATTCGATTCTGAGAAGTACTAGCCGTAGACGTAAGGTAAATTGGCAGGCGTCGGCACTTTGAGCATCCGACCCGCATCGATTACCTCTGAAAAGGAAGCGCGGCGCTTCGCATACGATCGCACAACCACAAAGTAATTGAAAGCGCTCGTGTTTGCTTAATCGGAAATGAGGCGACCACTATTTTGGCACAGTCGCAAATCAGGCGCGCAATTCGAAATGCCTAAAATGGCTTGCTGGCTATTATAATGTACACTTCATTGAGATCACCCATTCAAGAGCGGAGTGAACCCTTTTGATCCCCAGTGTGTGTAATCATTTTTCAGATGTCAATCACTGTAAGGAATTTCGAAAGTCACCATAATTAACCAACTTGATGGGGTAAATTCCCGAAAGCTGGGCCAAAATGCTTCACCAGAACGGCTCTACTGAGTCAACCGGGAATTATCTGAACCAACCCATTCGAATGTTCAAGGCATAAATCAGTGCGTACACCTCTTTGCTACCGCTTTCCACATGGGTAATTTTGTTGTCAGAATTGGTTCGTATAAAGGTGCCTATGCCTTGGCATTTGCAGAGGCGACTGGGCATATATCTTTCGCACAAAACTTGATGACTCTGAGTGAAATGCCCGCAGGACGCTGCAAAATCTGAGGTGCCTAAACATGATGAGAAGGCGTTTGTCCTCCTTAGCCGGGACTTTTCCTATAGTTCAACGGAAATTAAGTGGGAAACGCCACATCATCAACGTTATTATGCAAGATTCGATGCTTTTGTGAGTATAGTGTGGTGATATTCCCATGTTGAGTTCATAGTAGGCAACGATGTTACTCGGTGGTGATGACTGTTGACTACGATGCCCTGCCGAACACACACGTCCTGTCCAGTCGATGCATACCCTGTTTCGCCATATAACAACTGCAATCTGTGTGATGATAATTGTTGTCACGTGTTAATATCCAGAATAAAAAGGTAGATCCATGAGGTATGTCAGAAGTTCGGCCTGTTGTTCCAGGTAAAGTTTCTGGCTCAAAATGTGTGCTGCCAAACGGGAAGCTGTTACAGAAGGCGGTCCGGAAGGAGGCGCGCCTGCTCACCGACAGAGAGCGCTTGCAGATAGCGGTCGGTGGAAAAGTTGGAGATTCTTTACGTACAAAGTTTTTACCACATTTTACTCTTGAAGATCGCGCTGAACAAGATGAAAGCGGCTGGATTGTATGACCGCTATGGTTTAGTGCACAAATACAGCGGACTGCACGAAGGACCTGGTTTTTTCACGTGGCATCGAGAGTATCTGAAAAGGTTCGGCCTTCCAATTATAATTGTTTTTAATGCATACGCTGGGCTGGGCGTGTCAGAGGGCTGGGTTGGATCAGTGCCAGCCCGTTGCCGCTGATTGTTGCCTTTTGCTCGCTTCAAAGAACTGCCTGGTGCACGCCAAGTCTCAGTCTCTCTTGACTATGCCGCATAAAAGTCTGCAGTGAAGAAGCCGATGTACCTACCACGCAAGCGATTTCCTTAGAGTACCTTTCGTTTTCAAGATTCGATGCTGTTTCGAAGATTTCTGCCCTCGGGCAGCTCGGCTCGGCTTACGTACTGGGGATAGCTCGCTTGAGGTAAGAAGGTCATGATGATCTTAGTGTAACTGAAGGAGGAGCTACGTGGACGGTGGGAGGTCGGGGTAGGATAAGAATGGTACGATCGCACCTCGTTAACGACTTCTCGCACCTGGATTCGAGGCATAATTAGCGAGGTGCGAAGAAACCTCATTAAGCCGATTAGCGAGGTGCGAAGCGACCTCATTAGCCGAGGCCGAGGTACGTCGTGCTCAACTGCAGCTGACCTCACTTCAAGGAAAAGCTATTAAGCTATCCAAATCGGAATAAATCCATTGCAAGATTTCGGTAAAGTGGGTAAAAAGATTGCCATATATTTCATATATTTATTATTATTATTATTATTACTTAAACAAGAACAAGTGTACAAATTATTAATCAATAATTACAAAGGTATTATAAGTTTTGTTTGTGCACGAATCGAGACACTTTTATGGCAATGCACTTTATGAGTAGACTTTATGGGGCAGTAGCAGCACTATTTGTGGCATAGATACTCCCTGCTGATAAAGTTCGTGAATCGTAAAAATAAGTACAAGTGTCTTTGAGAGGTGCAATGAAGAAAGGGATCTGAAAGGTGTCCTACTTTGCCATTTCCTCAGATATTTTCTCTTTCCTCGCCATGTACACCTCTCGCACTGTCTTAGCGTGGGTGTTGCTGAAGAGGAAGTTGCCCGGGAGGTGGAAAAGTGTATGGAGAGAAGGGCTCCACGTAGTAAGAAGTTTCTGGTACAGGGATAACGGTGTATGTTGGATCCCGAGCGACGTAGTAGAAAGGTGCCGGCGGGGGGGGGAAACTATGTGGTGGTGCAAGCCCTACGTCGTACGAAGGTGCTGGTGCCGGGGAAAAATTGGGTGGCGGTGTTACACAAAGGAGTGGGGCACGATGTCTGAGGGAACCCTGGAAAGGTTTCATACACATAAGAACGGGAATCAGAAATTTTTTAATTTCCTGATAGTTTAGTTTTCACTCGATTTATTCCGATTTCGATAACTCAATGATCTCTCATTGAATGAGGTCACTTCGCACTCGAGCACGATTTCAATGAGGTCGCTTCGCACCTCGTTAATGATGTCTCGCACCTAGGGGCGAGGCATAAGCGAGGCATAATTAACGGAGGTGTGATCGTACCATTTTTATCTAACCCGTCGACGAGGGTCGCCGAGGTTGGCGTCTGCTTCTGTTCCTTTGCAACTTTCCACCAAATCAGTCTTCGTTCGTTCTGATTTTTCATAATCTCTCAAGACACTAGGGGGCGGCGCCGATTCATATCAGACTGTGTGATTTGGAACGCGCACTGTCCTTTCTCCCACTCTCTCAGAACAAGGGTAGCGCTGGGTGTGGCAGACCGCATACGGGTGGGCTCGGAGTTTTTGAACTGGCAGTGTTACGGAATCGCTTCGTCACAAGCGGAAAACATCAAGGAAAGTTTGTTCGTGCCCGCATAAACCTCGGACTCTAGCGTTGCCAATGTGGACGCATTTCTATATGTGGGTGAAACTTCTGTGAAGTGGGCGGGGCTTCTTATTGTGGCAGTAGCGGCACAGTTTTGCACGCCTGGAAAGGGAAGATTCTGAAAGAAACAGTCGAAATTCCGCCAGAGAGGCCAGATGTGAGATCCGTGCTGCAAAGAGAGAGGGCGAGATGTATATTATGGGTCGTTCGTTTTATTGATGTATGCAATTTGAAAAGAATGCCATCGATAAAAAAATTATGATAAATTCAACAGCGTGCGCAGCTATCAATCACTAGATAATACCACCTAAAGTGGGCGAGGTCGTAACGTGTGACTGGTACCGATCCTCTTTCAGTTAGAGGGTGTTCTGCGCGTACGCCAAAAGGGCAAAGAGGGTCAAACATAAGGTAAAGAGTTAAAATGATTGATTGCAAGACCAATCCACGTCGAGAAGGGGGCGGCGGTGTTGGGGCGGGGCTTGAAGCAGCCCCTAGTGCGGTTTAGTAGTCAACTGACCAGTGTAAGGGATGTGTCTGGTTTGGTTTGAAGCTGTTTTTGAATATTCAAGAGGAACCTACCGGTAAATGCGGCACATGGCTCACACGGAAAAATGGTTGGTCCATTGTTTCTGTGTACACATTGCCGTTTAATGTGAAGGATCGCGAGAACTTGTACGCGACGTTGAACACGAACAGCGTGGAGAAGACATACAAAGCGGTTGGCGGTACCATGGACAGATTCCTGAGTTAGCATCGAATTTTCTTCAAAGCATTTAGAGTGAGTGGCCACTAGTGTAGTTGAGGTGGGGGGAGGGGTGGGAGGGCGCGAGGTTGGTTAAGGTGTCTAGGACATGCTGGAATGTATTATAGTAGCTATGAAGTAATGCGCTAGTTTGTGCTCGTCCCGCAACCTGGAGATAACGTCCCCTTCTTCGCTCTTATAAGGGCTGGACCCCTTGAGTCTGTTGGAAGGGACCTTCACCTCGACTACACTAGCGGCATGAAATTTTCTGAACACGAATTTATCGATCACACGATGGCTTTCAGCTCCCGCTCTTCTGTCATCTAAGTAAACAAGCAGAAACCACAGACGGAATTGGGCCGTAAGATAGTTAGGGAAGGGGTCAACGGTACTGCACACGTCCTTTCTCTGGTAGTCTGCGCCTTCTCGACGAGATACTCTTAGAGGAGTTCGACTGACGCTGGGGGGAGGGACTAGGGCACATCGTAGTTGGGGATTCCCAACAGGGGGTCGTATTTGTCGCACCATACTCACACAGAGCAGTCCATGAATGATTTTTCATTAATTTAGATGTGGCTCAGAACATCACAGGCGCAGCATCGAACTGGCAGAGTATCTTCTAGCCAAATGACTGTATACGTTGCCGTACATTACCACGTTGAACGGCCGGATCATTGTGCGAATACCGTGCGGAGTGACACTATCTGGAACGCCCCTTTCGCAGCCCTTGCCATGAGTCGGACGCTGCACCTCATTGAGTACAGGGGTCAATAGAATAGCTCACAAGCAGACCATTCGGCCTGAGTTTTTCAACGCTGCTCTCGAGAACACTGTGTGCCTTGTGCAATTTTGAGGAGCCACTGCAGCACAACCGCTCTGATGACCATGAAAAAGGCCATTTAACTAGCCCCGGGAGAGATGCAAAGCTTGGATGCTCAGTGGTGTGGTGAACAGGTATTTTGCCACTACAAAATATGGAGCCCCAGCAATGTAAACGTTAATGCCCTACAAAATATGGAGCCCCAGAATTGTAAACGTTACTGCTGGACCTGTGGCGATAGGGTTGAACCGGTACTCATATAAAGAAAAATGACATTAT